AGAATGGAGACTATTTCATTTGATAAATGTTTTGTTTTGATATATAAGTTGTTCGGGTTTTTCATGTAAAAAAAAAAGCGACATTAATTTCTTGACGACCTAATATATTGTACTTACTTTAAAAAGAACAGTGTAATATTCTCAGTTGCACTGATTTACTATTCATGTAAGAGTAGTTAAACACAAATAATAATAGGTTTGACAAAATATATATATATGGCAAAAAATCTGAAATGTTGACTGAGTTGATCGAAGAAAGAATGTAAACAAAGTGAAAAAATCTTCAGCAAATGAACAGAAACAATCAAAGCAGACGAACGAACTTCACAATTGATGGCGCCTTTTTCATCACAGAATAAAGTAGCAAATTCTAAATATTGCTCCAAAGACGTTCTGCGATAAAGTTCAGATTGAGAAAGCACATTGGCTGTATACAGAATACAATAGAACCACCTCTGCTAGTTCACTTGCATATTGCACATCTCTGTTAATCATCCCAAAAGTAAAATAGGTATCACAGGAATTGCTAATGGCACGGTAAAACATGGCAAAATATCACAGTACATAAAATAAAAAGTGAGCCTTTAACAAAACATATATCCCGTTAGGGACTAAACATCTTACCTTAAGATACCTACATGTTGACTAGACACTGACAAACAATAGAAAAGGACAAAGCAGAAAGAGAAAAACGATTATAGACAAAATGTAGAAATATTTATATATGAACAATACTTTTGGATTTAAAAAAGAAATGTATGAAATTTATATTACTCTTCCAGTGTTGGCATAAGGCTTTGTTCTCTCTCTAATTAACCTCACCTGCAGATTCTCGAGTGTGTAGGTAGTGTTCCAGTTGGCTGTTTGGTGGTGTGAAATGACTCCCAAGCTTTGGTTATGTCCCACAAATTGCATACCTTATCCTCCACTTTCAATGGAAGTGTAGCTCTCTGCCACAGCCAGTCTTTCTCCCAATTCTAAAGGGTCCAAGCCTCAGTCCATTTAGCAGCCATCTCCTGGCAGTATCACTTTTAAATGGGGATCTGCTCTAACATGGGCTATTTCATGATGCTATTTGGTTGTTTATTTAGGAGCTTCAATTTCAGCAATCTCTCAGACTTTAGTTGGGGCATTTTATAGGAGGTGCTATGCTTTGCCTTCTGTAGCTGATCAGAGATGTTTCCAGTAGTACAAATCTATGTCCCCTTGTTAATAGCCAAACCCCTCTGTGGTGGTTGCATAGCCTGAGCCAGCTTGCACATCTGGGCTCCCACAGTAATCATCTTCATAGCAGTGGTGTTGGGTCCTGGTAGCCAGAACTCCAAAGGCACCCATCCTGCTCCGACTTTCCCCGTACTTGGTCGACTCTCGCAAGAGTCCAAGCTCCTGATCCATTTGCTTTTGCTTAGAGATGTAATGTCCCCACCATCTAATGCTGACGTTGATTTGTAAAACTGATATTTCTTACAGGAGACTTCAGGACTACGATGACAGTTCCTTCATTTACAAGGAAGTTAACTGGAGGTCTGAACTCTGTGGGACCAGTGGGGGCTCCCTGGTCCCAGGATATCTCAGAGACAACGTGACGACAGATGTAGTGAGCTCTCCAATGTCTGATGCATTGGCAAATGCTTAAAAATATAATAGACTTAATACTAATGTCTTATGACAAATATATTAAAAACTATAGAATTTAAGTTATATTTCCTATACATTTCGATGACTCCATTTGAAATTCGCATTTATTTAGATATGCTCTTTCCTTTGCTCACTAAGCTAAATTGTCTGAAGCACAGTTGAAGTCCAGGTATCCCCCGATGGGACAGCAGTAAATTTACGGATTTACAACGCTAAAATTCGGGGTTCGATTCACTGCTGTACAGCAAATAGCTCAGTGTGGCTTTGCTATAAAACAAACAAGATCCAGGTTTTTTTTGTAAAATATATTGTAGGTATGAAGATTGATTAGTTACCATCGACCTATGAATGAGCTGGTAAGAAATGATTTAGCTCAAAAACGTAGTTTTCAGTTGGTCGTAGTATACATTTTATTTCAGGTGAACTAATGAATATCCATACTGCTGATGCATTTTCGAATTCTGGAAACGATAAGTAAATGTGTTTAAAGTTCGACTAACCACATTTTCTGTTGCAAACTATAAGTATATAAACGATGAGTTAGAAAATTATTTTGTATTTTTAATAATGTGATGCTGAAAATCAAACATTTTTTTCCCATTTGCACTACTTATCCAAAACTTTAATAATTAGAGATGGCAAACTACATTCTACATTACTACTTAGAAATATTTTATTTTTAAAAGAACTTGAGGGTCTTTAATCAAGTTGTGAAGATATTTATGTTGTTTTGATTATTCATTTTTCGAATTATACAGAGAAAAAGAAAAAGCACAGTTCTAAAATTGAAATATATAAGTAAATAAGATTCTAAAAATAAATAATAAATTACATAAACTTTGATTCCCAATTTGACACACAAAAATATCTAAGTGTCACAAGGTGACATAATTTGTAAAAAAGCTCTATTAGTACACAAGCTCAATTTTTCCTTTCCACAAATTGGTATCGCAGCGGCTTATCAGGAGCGTTTATTAAACGAGTGTAACAGTCAATATCTTCGTGATGATATTCTACTTTGAACCTGCGTAAAATCTGAAAAAAAAAAGAGTTAAAAGGTTTGATAAAAATATTACAATTTTAATTCACTGAGTGTTTGTTTGAAATTTCGTGAAATAATTGCTGTTTTTGG